ATGACTCCAATGGAGTTCGTGGGTGTCTTGGGTGAGGTCGTCAGCAGATGTCAGTGGGTTAGTGGGCAGTGGGGTTAATTAGCATTGTGAACGATTGGGGTCAGTGAGTATCAGTGGGCAATGGGAGCCAGTGTGCAATGGGGTCAATGGCAATCACGAAATTGTGGGATCAGTAGGTATAGAAAAGAATAGAATAGAATATCCTTTATTTGAAGAAGGGTCCCAACCCGAAACGTCAACTTTCCTGCTCCTTTGATGCTGTCTGGCCTGCTGTGTTCCTCCAGCTCCAGCTCTCTGACTCAAGCATTTGCAGTTCTTATTATCCTTTATTGTCACGTGTACTCAAGTACAAGAGAACAGTGAAAAGTTACAATGTCGCCTCTCATCTCAGATATAAAGTACCTTGGTACAAATCTCAGATACAAAAAGAGGAATAAAAAAGAAAAGAAGTTGCATTACCTTACAGTGATTCATAGTATAAGTTAAAAATAAGACATAGTTAAAAGGATAAACATTACAATCAGACAAACACATTACAGATAAACACTACATTGTAGTAAATCAGCACAGGGGCTTCCACATGTGTTCTGACCGGCCTCACAAACTGCTGACCGCATGTGCCAGACCCCAGTCCAACAACCGTCCTTGCTCCACTCCGTGCCTCCAGCCCGCTCCACTTCGTCTGTCAGCCATTCCATGCTGCTCCAGGCCTCCAGCCTGCTCTGCTCTGGCTCTCAGCCACACTGCACTGGTCCAAGCTTCCAGCTTGCCCCTCACCGCTCCAGCCTACTCCGCTCTAGCTGTCAGCTGCTCCACGCCTACAGCCCGCTCCACACAGCTCTAGGCCTCCAGCCTGCTCCACTCTGACTCTCAGTCGTTCCACGCCACTCCAGGCCGCCAGCCCGCTCCACTCTGGCTCTCAGCTGCAATGTTCCAACGCTCTTCCCATGATTGCTGTAGATAGGCCCAGAAAGAAGGGAAGAATTTAATGAAATTACAAACACAAGGAAAGCAGAATTAAGCAAACTGATTGAAGATGTGGGTTGACGAGTCTCTAGGCCTAGATGAATTTCATCCTCGTGTCTTAAAAGAGATGGCTAATGAGGTGGTAGATGTTTTGGTGTTAATTTTCCAAAATTCCCTAGATTCAGAAAAGGTTCCAGACTGGTTCGTAATAAATATCACCCCTCTATTCAAGAACAGGAAACAGGAAATTGTAAGACAGTTAAATTGATGTCTTTCAGGGGGAAGGTGTTAGGATCAATCATTGTTGGTTGTACCTGGACACTTGGAAAACTCAAAGTAATCGGGAAGAGTCAACATTGTTTTTGAGGTCTACAAATTTAGTAGACTTTTTTTAAAGGGCTGAGAATTAAGGGGAGCCTATACTGTATTTAGATTTCTAGAATTTTTTTTTCTTCCAGAAAATAAAAGCTGATTTTGCAGGGGCTAATATATTTGCGTGGATAGAAGATTGGCTGGCTGGCAGTAAACACATAAGGAATAAATGAATGCAGTGTTGTAGTTTTGGTCTCTTTATTTGAGGAAAGATGTAAATACACTGGAGGTGATTCAGAAGGGGTTTACAAAAATGCCTGGAATGAGCAAGTTGTTTTTTTGAGAAAAGGTTGGGCAGACTGAGCTTGTTTTCACAGGAGGTTAGAAGAGTGAGGGGTCACTCAATTGAAGTAAATGAGTGGATATCAAATGGATATTTCCTCTTCTAGTCAACAACTAGAAGGCACAGCATTACTTTTTTTTAAAAATCACTTTATGACAGATGAGGTGAGTTTTTTTCTCTGAAAGAATTATGTAGTTTTGGAACTCTCACTCAGAAGGCAATGGAAGCAGGGCCATTAAATATTTCTGAGGCAGGGCTGGTTAGATTCTTGTTAGGCAGGGGAATCACAGGTTTTCAGGGATAGGTGGAAACACAGATTTCAAAACAGAAAGAGATCAGCCATGATTTTACTGAATGACAGAACAAACTTCTATTCCTAATTTGTAATCTTATATCAGTGGAGGTGAGGTCAGTGGTTATCAGTGGTGATGGGGAGGGAGAGTACTGGTGTCCTTGTTTGGGGTGGGTAATGACACTCTTCAAACAATGTGTTAAGCTTTTAATTTACACATACCAAGGTCCAAATGTCTGTTTGGGTATGCGAAATGCATGCCAATTTTCTGACACTAGCAATATTTTGGGCAGTTAATTTCCAGACTTAGAACAGCCATTTAGTGTTTGTAATTAGTGTCTCTGCCATAAGCTGTCCATAGGTATAGTGCTGGAAGATTGGAGAGTGGCACATGTCATTCCCTTGTTCAAAAAAGGGAATAGGGATAACCCCGGAAATTACAGGCCAGTTAGTCTTACTTCAGTGGTGGGCAAATTATTCGAAAGGGCTATGAGAGATAGGATTTATGATCACTTGGATAGGCACAGTTTGATTTGTGATACCTTATTGAATTCTTTTAAGAGGTGACCAAACACGTGGATGAAGGTAGAGGAGTGGATGTGGTATACATGGATTTAAGTAAGGCGTTTGATAAGGTTCCCCATGGTAGGCTCATGCAGAAAATAAGGAGGCATGGGGTAGGGGGAAATGTGGCAGATTGGATTCAGAATTGGCTGACCCTTAGAAGACAAAGGGTGGTAGTGGACAGAAAATATTCAACATGGTGTTCAGTTACGAGTGGTGTACCACAAGGATCTGTCCTGGGTCCTCTTCTATTTGTGATTTTTGTAAATGATTTGGATGAAGGAGTGGAAGGGTGGATTAGCAAGTTCGCAGACAATATGAAGGTGGGTCGCATTGTGAACAGTGCGGAGGGCTGTTCTAGGTTACAAAGGGACATTGATAGGATGCAGAGCTGGGCTGAGAAGTGGCAGATGGAGTTTAACCCTGAAAAGTGTGAGGTGATTCATTTTGGAAGGACAAATTTGAAAGCAGAATACAGGGTTAATGGAAAGATTCTTGGCAGTGTGGAGGAGCAGAGGGATCTTGGGGTTCATGTCCACAGTTCCCTGAAAGCTGCCACCAAGGTGGATAGAGATAGTAGGAACTGCAGATGATGGAGAATCTCAGATAACAAGGTGTAGAGCTGGATGAACACAGCAGGCCAAGCAGCATCAGAGGAGCAGGAAGGCTGACGTTTCGGGCCTAGGCCCTTCTTCAGAAAATGGGTGGATAGAGTTTTTAAGAAGGCATATGGTGTGTTAGCTTTCATTAATAGAGGGATTGAGTTCAAGAGCCGTGAAATTATGCTCCAGCTATACAAACCCCTGGTTTGGCCACATCTGGAGTATTGTGTCCAGTTCTGGTCGCTTCATTACAGGAAAGATGTGCAAGCATTGGAAAAGGTGCAGAGGAGATTTACCAGGATGCTGCCTGGAATGGAGGGAAGGTCTTAAGAGGAAAGGTTGAGAGAGCTCGGGCTTTTCTCTTTAGAACGATGAAGGATGAGAGGTGACTTGATAGAGGTGTACAAAATGATCAGAGGTATAGATAGAGTGGACAGCCAGATACTTTTTCCTAGGGTGGAGGTAGCTATTACGAGGGGCCATAGTTTTAAAGTGAGTGGAGGTAGATATAGGGGAGACGTCAGAAGTAGGTTCTTTACTCAGAGAATGGTAGGGGCCTGGAACACATTGTCGGAGAGGGTAGTGGAGTCGGCCTCATTAGGGGCATTTAAGTGGCTATTAGACAGGCATATGGATGGTAGTATAAGGTAGGGATAGAGGTTAGATAGACCTTAGGTTTAGGGTAAACGTTCGGCACAACATCGTGGGCTGAAGGGCCTGTACTGTGCTGTACTGTTCTATGTTCTATGTTCTATGTTCTAAACTGTAGCTTGAATATATACTCTGTATACGTGAGCAAGTGACTTGGCATCCTTCCTGTCTCAGACCGAGTCAGACTGTTGCACATCCTTTTGTAGCATCCACACCACATCACCTCCATCACAAGACTGCAAATATTAGATTTACTTAAGGAGAGGCTGGAGATGTATCTGAGGGAAGAGGGAATAGAAAGAAGGTGAGATGAAGTAATCAGAGAGGGCTGAGACTTGTGTGGAATGTCGTGACCTATTTCTTTGCTGTAGTTGCAATGTAATATGCAGTTGAAATCCTGTTTGTCATTTCTAGCCTTGATAAACCTTCAGGCCAATCTCTGACTCTTCATCAGCTCCAGCAGATTCTGTTCTAAGAGTTTATATCCTATTCCAGTCCACATCACCTGCCATTCTAGTGACTCTAGTCGCTCAATATCTGGCTTCACCATCCTACATTTCCCTACTTCCATATGTCCACCCAGGCTAATTTATTGCTTTATTATCCAGCCAGATGATCTTTCCCTCTCATTCATGGCTCTTGTCCCCAAATTTCTGCCTCTCCAACAGACATCTATGGAGAGAACACATAGTTAAGATTCCAGGCGTAAAGCTTACATTCAGAACGGGAGAAAGAATTAAATCAGATCTTTAAATTCAACAATACAAAGTGACTCTAAATAAACTAAGGATATTGGAGTGACAAAAAACTGGTGAAAATTTGAGGTAATTTGAGTCAACATAGGGTAGAATCCAGAAAATTGGAGATATTGAAACTCCCTCTCTGATCAATATTTTGATCATACTGCATAATGACTTCCTTCTCTTTTCCCTTGTGCCTGGAGTAAACTGCTTGAGTCATTTTTCAGCATTAAAGGCATAGTCAAATGGAAACTCCTGGTGATGTCTGGCGACTTGGGTGAGCACTTCCATGGAAGAGATGGGAAGGAAAATTACAATAGAAGGAAAGCTAGCCATTGAAATGGTGGAAGGTGATACCAGAACTAACAGCTGACATGAGAGGACTGATTTTCATCCAGAGAACTGCGGTTTCTCAACCAAAGCTTCATGTGAATGTCCTCCTTTCTTGAAGCACTCAATCGCCAGGTTAATTTGAAGCAGTTATTCAGCAGAATACTTCCAGCCACACTAAGTGCTAATGTTTATTTCAGTTTATTCCCTGGGATGAGACTAGGAGCTGACAGTCAGTTCAGTGAATTCCTCGATGGACTAGGACCTGCACAACTTGTTGGGAGACAGACATTAGCAACACCTGCCATGGGTAAGTGATGAGCCACCAGAATTGCATTGATTATTATTTGCAATGCTTTTGACAATAGAGCATGGAGCATATTTTAGCTGCATGAGAGAGCCAGGTTATTTTAAATTTAACTTAGCAAATATTGCTGTACATATGGGACAATATCCTTTTTGTTTTACCTTGTCATTTTCAGTGATACCATTTTGAAAGTTATTTTGAAAATGTTGTTATTGTTTGGTCCCTTTTCAGCTTTGCTGGATTTGAGGTTGAATGCCCTGATAATTAATAATTATGCATAACGCAATAAGGGATGCATAGTGGACAAATGAGACATTAGTGTGGAGTAAATGGAATTGCTTCTTGAAGTGCTGTCCTGTCACTTAGCAATATTCTGCATATATTTCCCCCATGGTAGACAGTCCCAGATTTTATCTGTATCGCCTGACAATTAGTTTAGAGTTTAGAGAGGAATCCTGTTAGGTAATATGGTTAAATGTGCCAAGTCCACGAAAAATTTAATTCTTTTGCCCACCAAGGGATCCAGAGATATGAAAGGGACAATGAAGCAAGCTTGAAGATCAGCCATTATGTTAAAGTGCAGCAGGTTTAAGGGACCAATCAACTACTCCTGCTCCTATTTCTTAACTACTTCTTCCTAAACTGGTTTATAAAAAGATGCAAATGCTAGGAAACTAAGACAGACAAGCAAAATGTTGGAAATACATAACATCTGTGCAATGAATACAGAGTTATATGACAGGGCCGAAGCTAGAATCCTGCAATGAGTGTCTCCTCTTGTAACTCCCCAAAGCCTGTCAATCATTTGCCAGATGTGTGCAGCTCCAGAAGCACTTGTTATTACTGTGCAGAAATGCTCTCTTGATTGGCATCTGAAGTAACTGCACAGAGGCTGGTATCCTATCATCAAGTCACCCTTTATGTACGTGTGTGCAGTAAGTGAACTCAGAATTAGTCTGCGAACTGAGAAGATTCTAAATCCCCTGTTTATATTGGTCAGCCAGGGCTTCCTGATTGGCAGTGGTTAACAACCTCAATCAAGGATGTCATAGCGAGATCCACCTGGTTCCAATCACTACACATCCCATCCACCAGCTTTAACATGAATCCCTTTCACTACCTGCACACAGTGACAGCAGTGTGAACCAGTGTGACAAGATGCACTGCAGTGCTTTTATTTTCTGTTTTCATTTTAAATTTTGAGCGTTTGCTATAGTTTGTTTTCGTTTCAATGTTCTGTTAATTTTTAATTTGATAAGGACTTCTGATGTTGAGACTTCAACTAACTTTCAGACTTAACTGCTTTGCCTCTTGTGTAACTGTAAACCTTGAAGTATTGTGTGCAGTTCTGATTGCCACAGTACCAGGAGAACGTGGAAGCTTCGGAGAGAGTGCAGAGAAAGTTCACCAGGATGTTGTCCGATCTCGAGGGCATTGCCTCTGACGAAAGGTTAAAAAGACTAGGATTGTTTTCACTGGAAAGATGGTGGCTGAGAGGAGACCTGATAGAGGTCTACAAAATTATGAGAGGCATAGATAAGGTGCATAGTCAGAGGCTTTTTCCCAGGGTTGAAGTTTCGGTTACAAGGGGGCACAGCTTCAAGAAGAGAGGGAAAAAGTTTAAGGGAGATGTGCAAGGAAAGTTTCTCATGCAGAGAGTGGTAGGAGCCTGAAATGCGCTGCCAGAGGACGCGGTGGAAACAGGCACGTTGACGACATTTAAGAGGCATCTGGATGGTTATATAAATAGGGAGGGATTAGAGGGATATGGACCGAATAAGGGCAGAAGGTTTGTTTTTTAGTTTAGTCAGGGCATGATGATCAGCACAGACTTGGAGGGCCGAAGGGCATGTTCCTGTGCCATACTTCCCTTTGATTCTTTGCTCTCATTATCTTGGAGTCATTCTGATAAAGTGTTCTTGCATTGTTGAGAAAAATTGCTCACATCTTCTGTGACACATCTTTCCTGCATCAATCCGGGTTAAGATAGGTATGAATTTTAGTTGAGGTCAGTACTGTTGCCTGTTCAGTTTTTGGTATCTCTCAGGCTGTCTTAAAACTGTACTTTCAAAAGATGCATTTTTGAATTTCGTACCTGGGAATAAGAACCATAACTCTTACAGTCAAAAGGTTTTATATAACTTTAAGTTTTAAATGCTCTTTGTTTTCTCAGGTGACATTCAGATCGGGATGATGGATCGGAAGGGACAGTTGGAAGTTGAAGTGATTCGAGCCCGAAGCCTCAGTCAGAAAACAGGTTCAAAATCTCTCCCTGGTAAATAAACTGCACATTACTTTATGTCTTCCTATCTTCCGGATGCTCAGGACCTGAAAAGACTGAACAGAGATGGAATGAAGCAAGAGCCTAATTCACCTTAATATGGGAGGGACTTTGAGAAAAGACTGTAGAAAGGTGGCTGAGTAAGGGCTAAGATAGTGCACACATTAGCCACTGAATTAAGATTGGAACTATTGAAGGGAACTTTAATGGCAGTTAATTATATTCCAGGCAAGCAGTTGGCAAGGTCTAAAGGATAGTTCTTGATTGAAAGTCAGGAATTTTAATCTGATTACCATTTAAGGCCTCCTAATACACGCTGGAGAGTAAATTGCATGAGAATGAGGTGAAACCATTGACCATAATAAATTGGAACTGGGGTAGGCTGTTTAGTCCTTCAAAGCAGTTCCACCTTTCAAAAGGATCATGGCTGATCTAGCACTCCTCATATCCACTTTCCTGCCCTTTCCCCAGAACCCATGATTCCCCTTCTGATACAGAATTTATCTATCTCAACCTTAAATATGTACAAGGACACTGCTGCCATAGCTCTTTCTGGTAAGGAGTTACAAAGACTCTCATCCCTCTGAGAGAAGAAATCCCTCCTCATCACATCTTTATTCAGCACACCTTAATTCTGAGACTAGATATCCCATGATGGGAAGCATCCTTTCAGCATGGATCTTACCCTGAGAAGTATGATATGTTTCAATGAGATCACCTCTTATCCTTTTAAACTCCAATGAACAAAGGCCCAACCTACTTAACATTTGCTCATAAGACAATCCACCTATACCAGTGATCATCCTAGTGAACCTTCTCTGAAATGCTTCAAATGAAATAATATATTTTATTAAATCAAGGACGAAATTTGCTTACAATACTCCAGATCTGGTATCACTAGCACCTTGTACAGTTGGAGTCAGAACTCTGTAAACTTATACTGCAACAGCGGTGAAAGATGAGCATGGCAAGATTCTGGAACCACGGATGACAAGAGATATTGAAGGGTTAGTCAAAAAGATAAAGGAAGCATATGTGAGGTTTAGGAAACTGAAATCAAACAGGTCCTTGAGGAGTATACCAGAAGCAGAGAAGAAGCAAGAAATTAGGAGGGCTAGAAGGGGCCATGAAATGTCCTTGAGAAATAGGATGAAGGAGAACTCCAAAGTACATCAGACCTACATTAGGATCAAGAGGGTAGCTAGGGAAAAGACAAAGAATTTATGCGTGAAGCCAGAGAAAGTGGATGAGGTCCTTAATGAGTACTCTGCATCGATAATTACCAAGGAGAAAACATGCGTGATGGTACGGTTAGAGAGGTGTTTGTTGATACTGTAAGGCATGTCGATATTAAGAAGGTGTTAGGTGTCTTGGAAAACATTAAGGTATGTAAGTCTCCAGGGCTTGATGGAATCTATCCCAGGCTACTGAAGGAGGCTCGAGAGGAGATTTCTGAGGGCATGACAGAGATCTTTGTATCTTCTTCAGCCACAGGCGAGACCCTAGAAGACTGCCGAACAGCTAATGTTGTTCACTTGTTTAAGAAGGGCAACATCGATAACCCAGGAAATTACAAACCAGTCAGCCTTATATCTGTGGTAGGGAAATTATTAGAGAAGATTCTCAGAGACAGGACTTACTCACATTTGGAGAAGAATGGACTTACTAGAGGTAGTCAGTACGGCTTTATGCAGAGGAAGAGCTGGATGAACACAGCAGGCCAAGCAGCATCAGAGGAGCAGGAAGGCTGACGTTTTGGGCCTAGACCCTTCTTCAGAAATGGGGGAGGGGAAGGGGGTTCTGA